TAAATCTTAACCCTTTGTTTCTCACTTCTTTTCCTTCATTCCCTCTGTCTCCATTATGCTCCTATTCCTTCTCCTTGCTATTGCAAAGTTAATAGTGATTAGTAAAAACACATTCATCCACTTAACCAACAACCATTTAACTTCTCTCCTTTCTAATATTTAGCAATCATCAAAAGCTTTTGGATTGAAGCGAAGAGAACAGTAACAACAACAAGCAACTTCTTTCAATCTTGATTTGGTATGTATTTGATTAATTTTTGGGATTTTCTAACCTTACTCTTGCCTTATTTTGAATTTTAGTAAATGTAAACTTAATCTTTGTTTATTCATCAACTACATTCAAATTGAACCCTAAAAATTGAAGTTTTTCATTGATTTTTTTTACTCGAGCAACTCTAACCTTACCTTATTTATTTTTTTCTTGTTTCTAATATTTTTTGTGATTATTAGTTTAAAATTTTCTAATTTTCAAATTGCAAAGGTTGGTAATGGAAGAAAATAACTTGTATTTGATGGTGTGCGAAGAGATTCCTACTCTTGATTTAACTATAAGTATGAATCAAGAGAATTTTTTTAATTGTTTTCAACTATTTTTCACTGTGGTAGTATTCTTTTATTTTAATTGCAATTATCTATGTTATTTTCAAGAACATATGGAAGAACTACTTCATGAAGAAGAGCATCTGCCTATGGAATCTTAAGCAAAGGCATGGAACACTACTAGTGGTACATTAAAAACACCAATTTGGATTATTGAAGGTCTACCCAGTGCAAATGAAATAACTTTAAAGCAAGGCCAAGATAAAAAAGAAAAAAAAAAGAAAAAAAAGGAAGGCTATGAGAAGGTCTGAGGTATGGGATCACTTTACTAGTTTTAGTGATGTTGATGGCAAAAGTAAAGCTAGGTGCATGTATTGTAAGAAAGTTCTAGCTACTCATTCTAAGAATAAGGAACTTCATCATTGATAAGTCATTTAATTATTTGCAAAAGGAATGAAAGAAACAAAAGAAACCAAAGTTCATTATGATTCATAGGTAGAGATGAGTGGGATGGCTAAGGGGTTACTCAATTAACCTCATGGAAATTTGATCCTGAAGCTATTAAAAAGGCACTTGTTAAGCTAATTATAACTAATGAATTTGCTTTTAGTTTAATTGAAAAGCTAGGTAGCTAGGTTTTAAGAGATTATGTAGAGTTGCATTGCCCCGAAGTTTTAAACTCCTTTCTCATAGGACTATCACTAGGAATTGGTATGACATTTATATTGAGGAGAGGAACCTATTAAAGAAATATTTTCAAGAAAGTGGTGTTAGGGTTTCTTTGACAATAGATACATGGACTTCTACCCAAAGAATTTCATACATGAACTTAACTGCACATTACATTGATGATGATTTGAGATTACAAAAGAAAATTATTAGCTTTTGTCCTATTGATGGTCATAAGGGAGATAGGTGAACTTCTTGAAAGGTGTTTAAAGGATTGGGGGATCAAAAAGGCTTTTGCATTGACAGTGGACAATGCATCTGTTAATGATGGTCTAGTGAAATGTCTCAAGGATTGTCTAAACAAATGGGGCACAATCATTCTTGGAGGGGTTGAGTTGCACATGAGATGTGCAACACATATTGTTAATCTTGTAGTTGGTGATGGGACCAAACTTGTGGAGTCTTCAATAGTTGCTATTAGAGCTACCATTAAGTATGTGAGGCAAAGCCCTCAAAAGAGTAAAAAGTTCAAAGAATGTGTGGAATTTGAGAAGATTGAGTCCAAGAAGTTGTTGTGCTTAGATGTTCCACCCAAATGGAATTCACTTTACTTGATGCTTGATACAATAGTGAAATTTGAGCATGCATTTGAGAGGTTAGTTTTATTAACGATATGATTTCTTGTATGTATATTTCATTTATTTAGTTATTTTATTGCTTATTTCGATTCTGATTTTTTAAATTTGTGTTTGGTCAAAGGTTTGCAAGGGTGGAGCCAAATATAAGGGTTGAACTATGTTTTGGTACCAATCTTCCAGGGTTTCCCTCATGTGTTGACTAGGAAAACTGTAGAAGATTGGTAAAATTTTTAGAGCATTTCTATTATTTAACTCAAAAAGTGTTAGTGACTTTGTACCCCACTGCCAACCTTTGCTTTCAAGGGGTGTTTGAAGGTGATTGTTTGTCAAAAGATTGGGAGGTTGATGTAAATTTGTCTGTAATGGCTGAGTATAAGGTCTAAGTATGACAAATATTGGGGAGATCCACAAAAGATGAATAAGAACATTTTTGTGGCTATTGTGCTTGGACCAAGGCGCAAGCTTGATTTTGTACAATATTTATTGGTTAAGAGATTTAAAAAGGATAAGAGAAAGTTGTATGGAGACATGGTCAAGCTAGAGTGCACAAAATTGTTTGAGGAATATAGGAGGTTGAGTTACAATGGATCAAGTAGTAGTAACTCTCAACAAACTTCTACTGTAAGATGCAATTTTGATATGGTAAGTAATGAGGTTAGGTCATCTACAAGGAGTAGGAGTCAAGTTCTTTCAGATTACAAGAGGGATAAGGCTAGCCTTGGTGAGGCTGTGGAAAAAATAGAGTTCGGTAGATTCTTGAACGAGGACCCTCCTGAAGATTCTAAAGACTTTGATGTTCTTAAATAGTGGAAGATGAATGCACTCAGATTTTCTATTCTAGCTGCCATGGCCAAGGATGTCTTAGCTATTCCTATCTCCATTGTTACCTCAAAATCTACCTTATCCACTGGGGGAAGAGTTCTTGATTCCTTTAAAAGCTCACTTACCCCAAGAATAGCCTAAGCACTTATCTGCTGTCAAGATTGGTTGAGCTTGACTACAAGGTATATTTACTATAGTTATTTAATTTTTCTATTCGCTAGTTTATGCATTATTTAACATCGTATTCTTTTTTCTAAAGATGTCTCTGATTTGGAGGACTTGGATTTGCTGAAAAGCTTGGAGAATGGTTTTTGCCCTTCCCACTTTGTCCATTTTCAATTTATTTTCATTTCAAGTTATATATAGCTTTATGCAAATTGTGAACTTATTAAATTATTTTGATATATTTTGACTTATCAAGTTTTGATAAACTTCATTTGGATTCCACCACTATGGCATAACAAAGTAGGCAGAACATGTATATGGTAGTAGGGTTATGGATAAAGTAATTGCATTTTTTTGCTAGCTTTAGCTTGTTTAACTTAAGATTGTCTTTTGGTTTCACATTTGAAGTTAATCATTGATTATTATTGTATAATAACTTGGTTTATTTACACTTAGCATACAGATAAACCAAACTGTAGATATGGTCTTCTCTTTTTATATATAAAGGTTTAGGAGCTACTTTCTTTTGTATTTAAAGCCATCTTGCTTTGATGTTGTTGCACTGCACTACACTAACGTTCTACTAGCGTTGGAAGTTTGGGAAATTGGAAATACATGTTGCATCTCATCTTTGGTTTTTTGTGGAGAAAGGAAGCCCACTACACTACACATGACTTTTGTTTTTTTGTATAGTATCTACATTCTCTTTAATGGTGGAATTCTATAACTGTAAATGAGTACTTGAAGTCTTCATAACTTCAAGTATGGTAGAACAAGAACAACTCTTATGGTAGTCACAAACATTAAGATATTTTCTATTATTAATGTGTGTGTTTTTCTCTTTATGCTATTCCTTTAAGCTTATTATGAATTGATTAATAATGTTTTATAGTTTTTTTATGGGATTTGAAAAATTATTTGAGAATGATATTAAAAGTTGAGTAGTTGATAGTTGCATTGTAATTTAGTTAAGTTTTATGAATTTTTTGGCCTTTGACTATAATTTCAGTGCTCACCGAAACCAAAAGTAACAATACTGAAAAGAAGGGATATCAAACTGACACAACTAACACTAATTCAGTTTGGTAATTGGTTTTCATTTCTCCTCAACTGAAAACTTGGTTAACCATCCATATTAGTCAATTTGATCACCAAACTAACTAATGCCCACCCCTAGTCAAATGAATGGCTTTCTCCATCCAACAGGGGGGTTCCTTACCTTTTTCTATCCATTCTTTTGTATATGCTACTTCATTCCTTCATTTATGAGGGTTTGTCCTACCTTTTGGTGTGGCTCTGTCTCTCAATTAATGAGTATTTGTGTCACTCGATGGTGCATTTTTTTACCTTTGCATGTGGGTTTTGTGTTGTTTTTGATATAATTTCATCCCTTTGATAATGGGGGTTTGTTTCGTTTTGTGATATGATGGTTGAAGTTTAGATGCAAACTCTAGATTTTATGAGCATAATAGTGAGTTTTTATTTTAAGCCTTTTAACATTAGGTGTTAGAGGA